TGTGTGTGTGTGTGTGTGTGTGTGTGTGTGTGTGTCATGTGTATATGAAATCTATTTTAATATACAACCATATCTCCTATGATGTGTTCCAGAGGTCAAACTGCCCTCCACAAAGCGGCGTGGTACCAGAGACGGACAATCTGTCACATGCTTGTGTGTTTGGGTTTTGTGTGTGTGTGTGGGGTGTGTGTGTGTGTGTGTGTGTGTGTGTGTGTGTGTGTGTGTGTGTGTGTGTGTGTGTGTGTGTGTGTTTGTGTTCTAATGCACAATGTGTTTCTATTGTGACATGTTCCAGAGGTCAAACAGCCCTCCACAAAGCGGCGTGGTACCAGCGTCGGACAATCTGTCACATGCTTGTGGCTGCCGGCGCCTCACTCACCCGCACAGACTTCCAGGGGAATTCCCCCCGGCAACAGGCGCTCAAGGCAGAGGATAAGGAGTTGGCCGCGTACTTAGAGAGTGGGTAGTGTTTGTTGTTGTTGTGGTAGTTGTTGTTGCTGTCGTCGTTGATGTTGTTTTTGTTGTTGTTGTTGCTCTCGTTGATTTTGTTGCGGTTGTTGTTGTTGCTGTTGTTAATGTTGTTGTGATTGTTGTTGTTGTTGGTGGTGTTGACATTTTTGGGTGGTGGTCGTTTTTCTTGTTTGTTCAGTAGTTTTAGAATAAGAAGTTGGCTGCATACGTAGAGAGTGGGTAGCGCTTGTTGTTGTCGTGGTGGTTGTTGCTGTTGTCGTTGATGTTGTTGTTGTTGTTGTTGTTGTTGGTGTTGTTTTTGGTGTTGACGTTTGTTGGAGGTGGTCGTTTTTCTTGTAGTGCAGTAGTTTAGAATAAGAAGTTAGCTGCGTACTTAGAGAGTGGGTAGAGCTTGTTGTTGTGGTGGTGGTTGTTGCTGTTGTTGATGTTGTTGTTGGGTGTGGTGTTGGTGGTGTTGTTGGAGGAGGTGGTTGTGTCGTTGCTGGTTGTGTTGTTGTTGTTGTTGTTGTGTTGTAGGTGGTTGTTGTGGTATTGTTGTTGTTGTTGTTCGTGGTGGTAGTGGTTGTGTTGTAGGTGGTTGTTGTGGTGTTGTTGTTCTTGTTGCAAAAGTTGTTGTTGCTCATGTTGTTGTTGTTGTTGTTGTTGTTGTTGTTGGTGGTGGTCGTGGTTGTTTATTGTTTGTTGTTGTTATTGGTGCTGTTGTGGTCTTTGTTGTTACTGTTGGTAGTGGTGATGGTTGTCGGTGGTTTTGATGGATGTTGTTTTTATTGGTGGTGGTTCTTGTTGTTGTTTATTGTTGGTTGTTGTTATTGGTGCTGTTGTGGTCTTTGTTGTTACTGTTGGTAGTGATGGTGGTGTTTGTGTTGATTGCTTTTGCTGTTGTTGTTGTTGTTGTTGT